GGTTTAGGGTTTAGGGTTTAGGGTTTAGGGTTTGGGGTTTAGGGTTTGGGGTTTAGGGTTTAGGGTTTAGAGGGGTAGACGAGAGATTCTGAGCAGACAAAACCACGGCCAAAGTGTCTGCGAATCTTAAATATTAAGGGTTTAGGGTTTAGGGTTTAGGGACTAGGGTTTAGGGTTTAGGAATTAGGGTTTAGGGTTTAGGGTTTAGGGTTTGTGATAGGTGGAGCTGCCAGTGGGTCCCTTCGACGACCAGCAGACGAACGAATACAAAGAAAGAGGAGGTGAGCCCGCAAACCCTAAACCCTAAACCCTAGACCCTAGAGGTTTCTAAAGGGATGCTTCTAGGGTTTAGGGTTTACTAGGGTTTACTAGGGTTTACTAGGGTTTAGGGTTTGTGTTGATACGCAGATTACGAGGGTTTTCACTACGGGCTCTCTTCTTATAAACTAAAAACTATTAAGCGGCTGCCGCACCCGCAGGAATCTAACTGGTAAACCCTAAACCCTAAACCCTAAACCCTAAACCCTTGAGTGCACTGGGCTGCGCTGCGTTCGTGTAGCCTTGAGGGTTTAGGATCTAGGGTTTAGGGTTTAGGGTTTAGGGTTTGTGGCTTCGCAGCGCGCGCTATATGCCGCAGAAACCCTCTATAGTTGCCAGCTGTGCGGTGGATGGCAGGGGTGAGCTAAACCCTAAACCCTAAACCCTCATTCTAAACCCTAAACCCTAANCTGTGCGGTGGATGGCAGGGGTGAGCTAAACCCTAAACCCTAAACCCTCATTCTAAACCCTAAACCCTAATTCTAAACCCTAAACACTAGCTACAAACCCTAAACCCTTGACCACCATGCACCCTCAGGATTTGAGCTGGAAACTTAACAAACCCTAAACCCTAAACCCTAAGTTAATGGCGGCTGTACGCTGGGACCGAGGTCTAGGGTTTAGGGTTTAGGGTTTAGGGTTTAGGGTTTAGGGTTTGCGGCTGTGCAGTTCTGCTCTATGATTTGGACGCCCCGGGGATCTGCGAGGGGCCCGAGACTTCTTTGATTGGAAATAAAGGCGAAGCGTAGGGTTTAGGGTTTAGGGTTTAGGGTTTAGGGTTTAGGGTTTAGGGTTTGATGAGGGTTTGGGGTGCAGGGTTTAGCGGGGCGGTTTATAGGAATTTTATTTGGGGGCTAAATGCAAACCCGTTTCAGTGTTTAGGGTTTAGGGTTTAGGGTTTAGCGTCTAGGGTTTAGGGTTTAGGGTTTAGGGTTTAGGGTTTAGGNCGAGAGGGGCAGCTTCTCTCGTGTGCTGCTGAGGGGACCTGGGTGCTGCATGATGCTGCAGCAGCACTGCAGCAGAAGAGTAAACCCTAAACCCTAAACCCTAAACCCTTGCTAAACCCTAAACCCTCGCTAAACCCTAAACCCTAGCTGCAAAGATGCTCTTCTCGATGAAGGCGGGGGTTGCTGCCACGCAGTTGCAGGTCCTCAAAGAGAAGAAAGAAAAAGGGTTTAGGGTTTAGGGTTTAGCAGGGTTTAGTTAGGGTTTAGAGGGGGTTGTTAAGGGTTTAGGGTTTAGGGTTTAGGGTTTATGTGGTGCAGCAGCAGCAGGTAACCCCGCTATTGTTGCAGCAGAAAGGGAGGTTCGCTTCAACTCGTGCTGCTGGGCTGCAGCAGATGTTTTGGTTGCGGCGCAGGAAGATAGTGTTGTCTCTCTGTGAGGGTTTAGGGTTTAGGGTTTGAGGGTTTAGGGTTTGAGGGTTTAGGGTTTAGGGTTTGAGGGTTTANTTTAGGGTTTAGGGTTTGAGGGTTTAGGGTTTGAGGGTTTAGGGTTTAGGGTTTGAGGGTTTAGGGTTTAAGGTTTGAGGGTTTAGGGTTTAGAGAACCCAACTGTCTCGCCACGTGCTTCAAGGATTTCACCCGCAACAGATCGTAGGGTTTAGGGTTTAGGGTTTGAGGGTTTAGGGTTTGAGGGTTTAGGGTTTAGGGTTTAGGGTTTGTGTTGCGATGGCAGGTGGGATATTCGTCAGTCCCCAAAACAGCCAACCGGCGAGGTGAGATGAAGACAAACCCTAAACCCTTCTAAACCCTTCTAAACCCTTCTAAACCCTAAACCCTGCTAAACCCTAAACCCTTTTTTTTTTTCTCTCAGGTGAACTGCAAGGGTGGAGCTGTTAACTGCGTGAATACAACCCAACTAAAACCCGAGGTTTTCATCTGCGGGGGAGATGACGGGGTTTGTCTCTAGGGTTTAGGGTTTAGGGTTTAGGGTTTAGGATTGTATGAATACTGGATTCACGCGAGGAGTTCCCTTAGGGTTTAGGGTTTATCATTCACTACCACTCTACCATCTAGGGTTTAGGGTTTAGGGTTTAGGGTTTAGGGTTTAGGGTTTAGGGTTTGTGTGCAGATGCTGCGCCTATACGACTGGCGTAAGATGAATGAAGCATTGCATGTGGTTGAGGGTTGTTGCGAGGGTTTAGGGGTTTCGGTGGTTTGCTTCTCTCCCTTTCTCTCTTCTTTTCTTCTTTGTGGCGGCAGCAACAAACATATTTCTTTTTTTGATTTAAATAAAGTGGGAGAGGACCAAGACCCAGAAGACGCTGAGGATGGACCCCCAGAGCTACTGGTTAGGGTTTAGGGTTTAGGGTTTAGGGTTTAGGAGGTTGGGCGGAGGGGTTAGGGTTTGGGGTTTAGGGTTTAGGAGGTTGGGCGGAGGGTTTAGGGTTTAGGGTTTAGGGTTTAGGTTTTAGTGGATTGGGCGGAGGGTTTAGGGTTTAGGGGGTTGGGCGGAGGGGTTAGGGTTTAGGGGTTAGGGGATTGGGCGGATGGTTTAGGGTTTAGGGTTTTGGGGATAGGGTGGAGGGTTTAGGGTTTAGGGTGTATATAGTGCAGGCTCTGATGTTTAGTGAAGACATATTGAGACGTGGTTTATAATACAGGGTCTAGGGTTTAGGGTTTAGGGTTTAGGGTTTAGGGTTTGTGTGCAGTTTACACACGGAGGCCACCGGGCGGATATATATGATGCTGCGTGGAACTGCGATGAGAAATTTCCTCAGGTCTCTAAACCCTAAACCCTAAACCCTAAACCCTAAACCCTAAACCCTAGATACAGTGAAGGAGACATAAGTTTGGGTTTGGGGTGCTAGGGTTCAAGCGAATTAGGGTTTAGGGTTTAGGGTTTAGGGTTTAGGGTTTAGGGTTTGTTTTCAGATGGTTGCTTCTGTTGCTAACGACAACAAACTCCACATCTGGCAGCCGGTGAGGCAAACCCTAAACCCTAAACCCTAAACCCTAAACCCTCAAATCTCTATAAAACCCTAAACCCTAACTCAAACCCCTAAACCCTCACTCAAGACCCTAAACCGTAGCGTAAACCCCTAAACCCTAGTTCAGAACCCTAAACCCTAATTCAAAACCCTAAACCCTAAACCCCCGCGTTACAACTGGTACTAACGAGCCGTAGGAACCCAATATAAGGGTTTAGGGTTTAGCATGCTGGAGGCTAAACCCTCGCCACAAACCCTAGGGTTTCGTGCATGCGTTTGTTTCTCTCACCAGAAAGCCTCTGTCTTCTTTGAGAGCGACAGCGAGGAGGAGGTGGACCCCGAGCAGTTGGAGTGAAAAAAAAACGAGGGTTTAGGGTTTAGGGTTTAGGGTTTAGGGTTACGTTTCTTTGGGTGCGCTCAAACTCTTACTCAAACATTCAATTTTCAGGGTTTAGGGTTTAGGGTTTAGGGTTTAGGGTTTAGGTTTTGGCGCTTAGGGGTGCTTCGGTGAGCAGCAAAACGCAACGCCTTTCGTATCTTGCAGTGCGTGTTGAATATCTAGGGTTTAGGTTTTAGGGTTTAGGGTTTAGGGTTTAGGGTTTAGGGTTTACGAGCTAGTATTGGGGGCTTGCCATGGGAGAGGGAGAGTCGAGCAGAGTCTCTGTAGCCTGCTAATAGCAGGGTTTAGGGTTTAGGGTTTAGGGTTTAGCTGTTTCTCTCGTTAGGTCTAGGAGTTATTGGGGTTTAGGGAAAGGAAAGTTGAGGGTTTAGGGTTTAGGGTTTAGGTCTAGGGTTTAGGGTTTAGGCTGCTCTGCGCGCCGCACACATCTCCAATCGGATTCGCCGCTATTGCCCCTCAGAGTACACGCAGAGGGTTTGTTTCAAGAGTTTAGGGTTTAGGGTTTAGGGTTTAGGGGTCTAGGTGGAAATCGAGTGTTTAGGGTTTAGGGTTTAGGGTTTAGGGTTTTGTGTGGCTTGCCATGGATCGATGCATCCGCATTAAATATTAGCTTTAATTGAGTAAAATAAAATGTTAAAAAATATAATATAAATATTAAAAAAATAAAAATAAAAAAATAAAAATAAAAAACAAAACAAAAAAGTTTTTTTCTCTGCTGCATCGAAGCTAGACGTGCTAGGGTGCCCACTGGTCTGGTGCATACATAACCATCGGGGTGTATAGGGTGGTTTTCTCTTATTTTTTTGTCTTTTTCATTTCTTTTAAGGCTGAAAATAGTATTTTAATTTATTTATAAACCAAAAAGGCAAAAAATTAACCCCAAAAATACAGCGGAAAATAGAGAAAGCGAGAAGAAGAAATTCTGAGGTGTATGTACACCTCGCGCGAAGCCGCAATGCACGGAGCGGTGGCCGGGCGGCTATCTTCTGCATGTAGGAGTGTATTTTAATTGAATTGAGTGCAATAAAATAATTAATTTAATTAATTTCATGAAAATAAATTAAAAAAATACACCATTTCCACTTTATTTCCTCTTTATTACGAGGGGCTCGACGGCAGCAGCAGCAGCAGCAGCAGCAGCAGCCGGCGGAGGCCTAGAGCAGCGTTTATATATAATATATGCATGTGTTTCTCTTCATTTATGGTGTATATCTATTCTTTCTTTTTTTTTTAATTATTTTAATTTCCTTATTTTTCTCCTTTTCTATTTATTTCCCTCTATTTATCCCCCATACACCGCGGTATCTCCCCCTGCCTATACACCCCCCTACCCGCCTCAACTAGCCATTCATATCTATTTCTCTTCTGCTGCTGCTTCTTTTCATCTGTATATCTGCTGCAGCAGCAGCAAAACCAGAGCTCAACGTACACCCCAGCAGCAGCAACTGCTGCTGCTTTCGTCGCCGCTGGGGGGGGGGCCTGCTGCCTCGCAACACTTCTGCTGCTCCGAGTATGCAGCTGCTGCTGCTGCAGTTATAAGCAATGACTTTCTTCTTTTTTCTCCTTTGGGGGGGGCCCAGCAGCAGCAGCAGCAGCAGCACCAGCAGCAACAGCAGCAGCAGCAGCAGCAGCAGCAGCAGCAGAAGCAGAAGGAGACGTCTTCTCCCTCTACTTCTTGCTGCTGCAGTCGCCTTGCCTTGTGTCTCTCCTTTGGGTATTCCTGCTGCTGCTGCTGCAGCAGCAGCAACAGCAGCAACAGCAGCAACAGCAGCAACTCAGCAGCAAAACTCTTCTGGGAGCCCCGAGGGGCCCCTTTTGAACGGCTTTCTGCCTGCTGCAGTGGGAGAGAAGAGAGAGCAGCAGCAGCAGCAGCAGCAGCAGCAGCAGCAGCAGCAGCAGCATGAGGTGCAGCAAGTGCGGCAGCACTTTTCTGCTGTCTCCTCGCTAGCTAGCAGCTCTGAGCCCCCAGCTGTCTCCGCATACACCCAAACTGTCTCCGTATACCCCCACCACCACACTGCGGTGAGGCATACGCAGACCCACCACTTACTAGCTAGCTAGCTAGCTAGCTAGCTAGCTAGATAGATAGAGGGTGATGCTAACCAGCTAGCTAGCTAGCGGGTTAGCTAGCTGGGTGGCTAGCTAGCTGGCTAGCTAGGTAGCTAGCTAATCAGGAAGATAGATAGCTAGCTAGATAGCTAGCCACACAACCATCTATGTAACTAGCTAGACACCTACCCAGCTAGCTAGCTAGCTAGCTAGCTAGATAGATAGCTAGCTAGCTAGCTAGATAGCTAGCTAGATAACTAGCTAGCTAGGTTGTTGCATGGGGTGGGGATGAGGGATGTAGGGGGAAACAGATGCATCTGAGGCGTGGGTTGGGGTGTACGTACAGCTGAACATATATATCGCTTTATTTGCTGCTGGTAGGGTTTAGGGTTTAGGGTTTAGGGTTTAGGGTTTAGGGTTTGGTGTTTTTGTTGCTGCTGCAGCTTGAAGAGGAGTTGTCTGGGGATGCGGCAGCAGCAGCAGCTGCTGATGATTCTGCTGCTGCTGCTGCTGCT